CAGGTCAGGAGGAGTTTAATCCTCAAACCAAATGACCTTGAAGAGATGCCCTGAGGTGCAATACGGGCAATTAAGGAGTAACAAGACACAGAACTTCAGCAATAAAAAAAAAAAACAAAAAAAAAAACAACTTGAGTCATGAGTATGTGGTTAAATACACATGTTCAAACCAAACTTAAAAAAAATATATATATATATATTCAAAAACATGAATTTGGTTCACAAATTAGAATTTCAGGTCAACTTTCTATATTCCACACAAGCTTAAAATTACACACCCCAGAAGAAATCTACACATGCATCTTCACTAAGCATTCAACGTAATTATTAGTGTCTTGAGTAGCCTGGTGTAGAAATCAATGCAAAGACAAAGATTGAAAAAACAAACAAGTACGACATCATTTGACAGGTGTTACATAAATTAGTTTGCCAAATAGAGCTTTCTTATTAAGAAACACAGGGCTTCTTTAGTTTCAACAACTCGACTATGTGGGATAACAAAAAAGAAAATTCCAAACAGCCGTACTGGCTTTTTTCTGCATGTAGGAGGAGTCTTCCTTTCATCCTGCTGACTGGCAGTGCACTGCAATAGGAGGAGGGCCAGTTCTGTCTATCTTGTTAAAAAGGACTGTAATGTGCAATTTTTTTAAAGCTTTGTCATATCCTCAAATTAACCAGTCCAATGCTAATTGCCACCAATTTTTAATAAATACCTCTGAACAGAACAAACAGGTTTTTATTTGACTGGTTTGTGGCCCATAAGTTTCTCACATAATTGTAATTCTCTCTTCAGAATCTGTGGAGATTATTCAAATTGGTTAGTTTCCTGGCACGGCCCTAACTTTTAGAGATGAGATAACAAAAAGTAGAAGAATACCCAAGTTCTATAAACAGATGGACAATAAAATTTTGACACCATCACATTTACCCCCAAGACAACAATCCTAAACCCACATTTAAACCATTTTGTAACAGAAAAAGCTGACTAAAATCAAACTAACATAAATTCAGAGGTGGTTACTCCCAGATTTTCTACACTACAGCCTGCAGCATCTAAACAACACAAATAAACCATATCCAATCTCATTCCCTAAACATGAGGGACTGAATGGGCTCAAGTTCACATACAAAGACACATCTGAGTCATCTGCATTCTGAACACAGTCCCAGAGAGAGGAGACCCGAGTCCAGTTCCTGGCAGTCATGCCTCCGGCAGGGTCATATGTTTCACAGAGGCTTGACCCTTGTTCAGCCTCTCACTGCAGGCTAAAAAGGGAAAGGTGGAACTTGTGAACTGAAAGGAATGCCCTTTCTCTGGCAACATGACAGCAACAGCAACAAAACATTCATGTTAATCATCATAACTTCATTTTAAGTAACGGTCCGATCTTTCAATTCTGAGATTGGCAACGATGCTCTTTGGACATGCAAAGGAAAATCTGCTGGTGAATAAAATTATGCGACTCGACCGTCAGAACAGTGATCGGTTGGTCACAAACCGAAACAATCTGATATTTTTCTTCCCTAAACAGTGAATGGATAATAGCTGCAAACTATTAGGGCAACATAATGGCAGTTTGGAAATTTCTTCCACCAAAATGTAGAAGAAAATTTACGAGATAAACTATTAAATCAAGTTGTGTTTTTTATTTGATTCGATGCATAAATTAGTACAATATTTTAATTACCAAATTTTATGTTGGATTCAAAACTACTAGCTCTATCAAAGAAATCCTACCAATGTTTTTCTTTTTCTCTTATGAGACAGATTGTTGGGGGGGAAAAAAAATAAAAATCAAGGAATTGGTGGAAATCAAAATTTACAACTGAGAGGTAAAAGAAAACAAGGAATCACTATCAGCAAGGAAAAGCCTGACCTATTTATAATTTTGAACAGATTTTGTACTAAAAGCTGAATTCTTTTAGTACTAAAAGCTGAATTGTTATTCTATTTCTGTTATATTTTACCGCATGTAAAAGACAAAAGAGTTCATGAGCTTTAATCTGTCATAAATAAATGCAAAATGCTGTCAAATTTTTTTTGGGAGACTTGATATATACAAACATACGCATATTGCAAATCTTTTTATATGCATTTATCTATGTATATAATTTTTTTTTAGAAAAAATCTATGTAGAAACCGATCTCTCTCTCTCTCTCTCTCTATATATATATATATATATATATATATATACACACACACATACATCTATATCTAAATTTCAGTGACCACAAAATCTTTATGTGATAAACCTCTAATCCTAAATCAGTATACTGTATGTAAATGATAAGCTGTACCTGTATTGATGCAAAGTGAACCATCATTACACAACATGTAACGCCTTATATCCTAAATTTGTGTTGCCGTTTCCATTTCCTGTAAAGGTGCAACTGTAACTGATAACCACAGTAGAAGTTGTGTGACTCACCACACAGTGATGAGTCAGACACTTTGGGAAAGTGCAGTAATTGGAGCATGACAAGTAAAGAATTAGTTCAGAGCAGAAACTTCAGATAGATAATGTGTTGCGGTTGGTAAATCCATGTTTTGATCCTTACAAGGGTCAGCAATAAAATACTTTTTAAATTGATGTTAATATACAACATGTTAATTAGCATTTTGTTGCCCATGTTATTTACGCCAAATTAGTTTATTTCTATCTTGCATTTCATTTTAAGAAATAAACTTAAGTTAAATAAAAATGCATGGTTTTATTTTTACATTGAAGCATAAAAGAATAACATTTTTTACTTGTGAAAAATCTACTTAATAGTTTACCCCCCCACCACTCAACCAAAAGGAGAATCTTCTTAGACAGGATACAATGTTAATCCTGCTTCCCTAAAATAACAGCAGCAGCAGCGCTACAAAACATAATTCTGACAAAAGAGGTAATCCAGGCCTCGGCCTAGATGACAGCGATGGCACACAAAGCCAGGTGACAGTGAGAAGTCACACAAACACCCGGACAGAAACAGAAGATGCCACAGTGACTGTCATGAGGGAGTGAAGATGTGTCAAGTGTTCAGCCAGCGTGGAGGGAAAAAGAAAACAAAAGGAAAGGGCTGAATGTGGTCCAAACGCACAAAATATTATAGGAACACACATCTGGAGTCGAACTGGCAAGCAGCAGCACTCCTAGCATTGTGCTCAACACGCACCCACACACCGACAGTGAAGTGATGCTACTGACAAATACAGCAGCAAAGGGCACGCCAAGGTGCCAGAAAACTCTTTGACAGCTAGTCTCTTTTACCTTTGCTGGAAGCCGGCTTACTCAGAATTTCTGCTTGTTAACTCGGTTCTGGGATGGCAGGGGAGTTTGGGGGACTAGCTGAGAATAACAAAACTGGTTTTCGGATTACCAAAACGAGAGGAGGCAAAGTGACTAGGCCATCATTTAATTGCCATCGATATTGAAGACTTCTGGGGTAATCATTAGCCAAATTCTATCCCCCAGTCATCCACCTGCCTCATCTGGCTGTCAGACGTGTAAGCAGGTGAGTGCACACACCACAGGAGGCACAAACTATTGATCTGAAAATTGCCTGTTGCAACATTTTTCTTTGAATGTTTCCCAGAGCAGTGCGTGTTCTGCATTTAGAAATCCTAACTCCACACAAGGAGTCTGATTTCAACGGCTTGCAGAGAGTACAAAGTTTGACGACTTGCTCTGGATTTCTTCGGCATTGAGGAGAATTAACTTCTCGTCTTTATTGCATAGGCAGCCTCAACAGTAAACTCAGTGTTGCTTAAAGTATAGCCCTGAAATATGAAGAGAGCAATTCGGATGTTGCCTGGGACTTAGCGGGAAATGATAAATGTAGAAATCAATTGGTCAAGCGGCACAATCCACTTGGCACATACTGTGTATTGTTTAAGAAACTCAGACTTTAAGTCACATAAGAATATTGATTTCTTCGTCCACAACATCATAACTAAAGCAAAACATATTTCTAAATTATATTTTCTGTTCTTTTACACTTCGATCCACGTGCTTTAAAATTCTAACAGCAGCTTTGACCCAGTTTTGTAATTAACACAGTAATTCAATTCATATATATTGTTTTATGTTTCTGTTTCATAATATATTTACAGCACCTACTATTTTTCTTTTACCCATGAGAAATGATGCATAATCTTTAACCCCCTCGTTAAGAACTTACTTCAGTGACATAATATAATGCTGATAATTTTTTTTTTTTTAGAAAACAACTCAACCTTTAAGTTTTAGGACATGTTTGCAATAAAAACACATTAAGAGAAAATTGTACCAAAATCACTGTTTCCACAATTATTGGCACCACAGCACCTTCACATGGTCCAAGTGCTCCACAAACTGAGTCACCCCTCACCTTTTGGTAGAATAACTTTTTAAAAGACTTAAATTTCTTTCAGCTGTTCAATATAGAATAAAAAGACAACTTACTATTGAAGTAACATAGATGCCTGTTGACTGCTGTATGCTAGGAAATGGCTACCAGAATGCAGCTATAACTCAGGCGGTATCTATATCATAAAACCGAACATTGGTTTTTACTGGGATTTTGAGCAAGATAATGAGCCAGGATGTATGGTCAAGTCAAATCAACACAGGACAGATTCATCAGGAGCATTAACTTCCCACCGTGGTTGAGTCTTCAGGCCTAAATAGGACAGAAGAACTGGTGAGCTGAACTGAGGAGTGCAAAGGCAGTAAACCAGGACTCTCCATGGCATAAACACATTTTGCAAACCATAATTGTCCGAGATTCCTCAGTGAGTGGCAACCCTGTGAAATGTTAAAGAAAAAGTGATTTTCTATTGCAAAAAGGGAGCTTTATCAGAAAAAAAAAAATATCAATGTTGTGCTGACCTTGCTCAGAAGAATGTATTTATTTATTTTTTATTTTAATTTACAGGCACCAAAAAGTATGAAAAAACTGCAAAGGCACTGCCTTATGTTAGTCCACTTCCAGCGGTAGCTTTAACATCAAATTCAAAAAAAAAAAAAAAAGGTGTCCACAGAGAATTGTTCCAGTCAGCGGCTCACTTCATACTTACAGCTGTATTTGACAACCCAGCAGCCAGCAAGAAGACCCAGGAGGGTGGAGTAGGTGGTGGGCATTTGTCCTTCTGGCACGACGACATGGCTCACTGAGAGAAGAAAACAAACATGAACAAAACCAAACTGAAAAGAGACACTTAAGGGAGTTGTGCTACAAACTTAAAATAACAGCAGTCTGTGCTTGACTAGATGGTTCCAGATCGTGTGATCAATGATAAGGTATAAAGAACAAAAAAACAATAAATAAATAAGAGGCCATTAAGGAGCAGCTTATTGTGCGTCAGACATGGAGATATAGTACCTCGCTACTGTATTTATACTGGAACTTTTAACATGTTGTCACGTTATAACACAACAACAAATTTTATTGGGATTTTATGTGACACATTAACAAGAAAGCAGGGCAATGAGACATGGCTGTCACATTTCTGATAAAAAAAAAATAAAATAAAAAAAAAATCAGAAAAGTAAATAAAATCCAGTTAAACAAGCTGCATTCAGAAGTCCTCTAATTAGTAAAAATAAAATAAATAGACTGAACTGCTTAATTCATCTAAGAATTAATGCCGGTATTTTGCAATGTCCTTAGAAATTGCTCTATATTAGTAAACAAACAACATAATGAAGACCAAGTAGGTTTAGGTTACAAAACAAAACCCCCAATCTTTGACCAGCTTATGGGATACTGATCAAATCAATGAACCATAAATCACTATTTTTAATGGGAGAATGGATAAGCCATTTTAAGTTATTGTGCTGCTTGCTACAGACCATGAAGGGGAAACAGCAAGTGTGTTGAAAAAGTTGCTCAGGTCAGACGAGACCAAAATTGAACTTTTTCATCTGCATGCAAAGTGCTTGTGGAGGAAAACTGTCACCTTGAACACAATATCCTTCTGGCGAAACATGGAAGCGGTGTGATTCTTTTCTTTATCAGGAAGTAGGCCTGCACCATGGTCGAAAATATTGCATTCCAATATGATTGCTAAATGTTGCATATGACCTGATGATTGGTTAACACTGTGGCAACCAGTTCAATTAACCCATATTTCCCACACTACCACCTATATTGTCTATCTTCACAATGTTTCCCCTTAAAAATCTTGGTCATGTCTAAACACGGACACTTGAAGGTCTCTCAAGTGGCCAAATTAAGTATTGGCAAGCAGAGTTTTCATGCATAACACCTGAGATATTATATTCCACAAAGCAGTTTATCCAACCAGTTCTTTGTGATTGCAACAAAATACGTCAGAACTAAATCTAAATGAGTCTGTGGGAAACTGATGTTGAAAGAAAAAAAAAAAAGTCAAAAGTAAAGATCTCTGGATGTGCAAAGATGAAGGAATGCAAAAGTGCTGAAGCTGCATTTACAGCAAAAGGTGACCCACAAAGACATGGTTCAGAAGAGCCAAATTATAATGTTTGCCACTCTTATGTGAAGGTACTCTACTTTGTCCAACACTGCGAATGCTGTTAAGTATAATATACAGGGCATAACATTAGCAATCATCAGATATGCACAAAGCAAAACAACATAATCTCAGTTTTTTCAGTTATACGTTTAGACAAAATGTGGATCTCTGGCTTTTGAGGTGATTTCATTCACTCCATAATTTGTCACTATTTGGGTTAATAAACACGTTTTGAATTAAAAAAAAGTGGAAATCAGAAAACTGATATAAAAAAATTTAAAAAGTGGAATTTGGGAAAAATAAAACAGATTTCATAAGACCTACCTTACCCGAGCCACAACGGAGGCATACTTCTCACAGTGTTAATTTGCCAGCGTTTCTCACTTTGAGTGAGTGACCAGGTAAACCTACTGTATGCCTGTCAAACTGCTGCTGACAATGAAACAAAAACCAGAGCAGGGGTTTTTGCTATAAAAGGCAGGGTCACATAATTATAGGTTAATTAAAATTTAAATACAAGCTTATTGCCTCTTCATTCAATGAGTGAGGCGAGTTGACAAGTGCAGAACGAACATAATTATATCCCAGGGGTAAAAACTCTTCTTACATTTTGCATTGAAACTGTAGCATTCAGCTCAAAATGATAAAACCTTGGAAAAAAAAAAAAAAAAGTCTGAAAGTACAAACAGTCACCCCTGCAGCCAGAGGGGGGGAAACAACAAGAAGCTCCTCTGCTTTTCATTAGTGTGAATTCATCTCTCTGACAGCACCTCCAAACATTTTATGAGGAACGATTTCAATTACTTCTGCTCTCCAGTGTTCTTCCAGCCATTACTATGCAACAGTGAAGGAGCTGCTGCATCACAATGATGTATACACCACTAAAAGCTGCTGTTTGCTACTGTTGAACCTTCATGAGTGATAATGCTCAGGTACTGACTCACAGCTTTTACAGTACAAATGGATCTGTGTTTCTTAGTAAGGCGTATGGAACAGAGCTGTGTGTGTGTGTGTGTGTGGGGGGGGGAAATAATTTCACCAAACATTATAACTGCAGTGTGAGACCGGCTCTTCATGATAGATTTCTCATTCTTCCAAAATGGGAAGCTGGGACAAAACTGCCCATTTATATAACAACTTCTGTGTATACTTCTAAGAATATTGGGCAAGAAAAGATGTTTATGCAACAACAGCTGTATGAAGGGGCTGCAGTGAAAAACTGGCTGTTGGCCAATCTTCACCTTGATCGACTTTCTTTTTATCTTGAGCGAATTCGCCACATGAGAGTTTAACTAGGCCATAGGTGTCCAAACGCCAGTGACCTGCCAGTTTTAGATGAGTCTCTGCTGTAACACAGCTGATTCAAATGGTCCAATTACCTCCTCTGCATGTGACGCCTGCTAACGACCCATCAGGTTGGAAAACTGTTGCTCTGTGTTATCATTTGGATCCTGATGTAAAGAATATGTCATTTATGGCTGCTCACGGCAGGAAGACGAGAACAAAAGAATATTTTAAATGCCGTTTCTTTCGTCCTATGCAATAGGTCTACAAGGGAGCTCAGAAAAAAACAAAAATAGGAATCTGTATCAGAGAAAAAAAAAAAAAAAGTTTTACAGTGAATGGAAATCAGCCACAAAATTCTGAAGGTGCATATCCAATTTTTACATCTATTGTTTACTCCTGCAAATCTCAGTTGCTGAAAAGTTGTTAGAAAATAATCGTTGTCGAGCAATGACAATTTGCAACGTAGAGGCAGAATTTCAGGTTTATGGATATCCAGGAGCAAGATGGTAAGTAACACTACCTGAGCCAGAAAAGGTATCAACGATCCTTCCTCCCAGTAGCACTCCCAGTTTGACTAGCTGACGCTGCTCAGGCGATGATAGCTTGCTGGCCAATAACATCAAAGTCTGATCCCTTCTCGCACTCTCACTCGACTAAAATGAGACATAAGAACACGGTTATACAGTCTCCGGGCACTTAATGCGAGAATATCAGCGCTTAAGGGTTGCCAAATGCAAGATGGAAAAAAGGATTATTCACTGATTTATGAAGACATACCGCGGAGATAGTGGCTGAGGGGCTATGAGATGTATGAGAATTAGCATATTGGGTTCCTTCTGCAGCTTCCTGGAAAATCGCCAGCATCTCCTGGCTCACTGCGTAATCTGCAGGACGCTTTCCATGTAGATTACTGCAAAGAGGAAATAAAATTCACAGATAAAGCATATCAGTGTTTCAAAGAATGTACCTCTGTGTTAATGAGTTTGAAGATGAGGATGAAAAAAAAAAAAAAAAAACATGAACTAAAACACAACTAAAGCAAAAGGACACACAAAACTCATGTGGTTTAGTGCAACGGGATGTTCCATTCTGTACGCCGATATCTCATAAAGAATAACTTCTGATGTTAAACATAATAGTAACCAGCAACAGAAATTTTGTCAAGATTTGTATGTGTAAAAATGTAAAATTTCAGAGTTTCTCCATATGTTTTCTGTATTTTACCAGTCTAATTTGTCAAGTATTTCCCACCCCCACATTTTGGCCCTTCTCTAGTTCAAAGGACATCCTCTCAATAAGAAATGAATATTCTTCCAACATGTTCTCACAATACTTGAACATCTAAGTTCTGCTGGAAGTTCAATAATCCCATGTTGAGGGAAAAGCAATCTGGCAAAAATCACACCCCACCTGTTCTGTGAAGCTGTGCAACAATATATGATTTTCCCTTGATGAACAATAATCTTTGCCTCTCTTTAGTTTGATATGAGATAAAACTGAGACATAAAGTCCAGTTTTATCAAAGATCAAAATTATGTTCTTTCCATTAATACAACACTCCACACAATCATTGCCAACCCTGGTAAGACTGTAATAAATCATCATGGACTCTTAGATGTCTGCTCCTGCTCGAGTTCCCCAACAGTGAGCCTCACTCACTGTATGATAGAAACATCCTTGTCAAACTTCGCTTTAGTTTTATTTTTACTTGTTGACCTGGGTGGTGTTTCAGTTATTAAAACTGTTGCTTTACACCAAAATGAATTTGAATCCTGACTGGAGCCCTTCTTTACAGGGCGTACATGTTCTCCCTATGCAGGCATCGTTTCCCTCCGACTTCTCCGCACGGCTACAAAACATCTGATATTTAGGGAAACGCATCTAAAAAAAGATCCCCATTTCTTTGGGGATTCAGCATATATTTTAAATCTGGTGCACAGAAACCTTTTCAATATAGTGTGTGTAATGGAGGCTTAAAGTCAAATCAAAAGCACCGCTATGCACAGACACTCAAAGATGATAAAAGTGCAACCATCTCCTGGTTACAAAGAGGATGTTGAAATGAAGTGCGAGTTTGAGAAAGCTGCCTGAAAGGTCACCTTGAGAAAGTGCAAAAGAGGGGGAAAAAAGGGATGAAGAGAGAGGATGGCGGGAAGAGAGGATACAAATAGAAGAACCGAGCCCAGCAGGTCGTCTCTAAAAGATTAGGCGTCAGCAAAGATAACACCTGGGGGACAATTAATAGGTCCACTGGTCCATAAAATATTTCATTTGGATTCATTCTCCCAGCCGAACACACACACAAATATAAACAAACAGAGAATGTCCCTGACACTTCAACATATGCATGCACACACGCTGGTGTATGCATGTGAGGAGAATATGCAAAGATTTCAAGGGAAAGGGGGGGAAAACAAAATCATGGCGGAGGTAAAGTAATAAACACTACAGGGCTCTGCTTCTGCTTGACCACAAGTTTGACTCTAGTGAGCATGAGCTGCAACATGCATCAAAACCAGTCACTGCCACCATTTTGGGACTAGAGAAGCATTATAACAATGCAATAACAATTATCGCAATCTAAACAGTTCTGATATTGCAATGGTGATATACTGTGCAGCTAGAGGTGTGCCGATCGATCGGTCACCGATCATAATCGGGCCGATTTCCGTGAAAAAGTGCATGATCGGTGATCGGCGATCATTGGCTCTTGTTGCCGATACCGATCATCTCATTTCGCAGCCTGCCTGTGCAGCTGGTCTCTTTCCTTCACACTGCGCAAACGCGCAGCAACAAATCCTAAGCGATGTGTAACTATAACGCACTGAGTGAATGGGGAAGTTTGCTGCGTGTTGCGGCGGAAAATTGAAGCAGTCAAAATGCATCAACACAACGAAGCTAACACGACATAAAAACAATGACATACTTGACGGAATTTGGCTACATCGAGACTCACTGCAGTAAAAAAGACATACGGAGGATCAGATAGCAGGTAAAGCAGCGCACAGCTACAAACACTCACCCGGATTAGCATGACGGTCAGAGAGCTAAACAAATAACCCGCAAAATTATTTAAGTCTTCGAACTGCGATGTAAGACACTGGTTCTGCTCTCGCTGTTGAACCGCTGCTACAGGTAGTAATATTTGACAGACGGAGCGCCGCTTCTGCTCCACCTGGTAGTGACTCTCACACCGAACCTTTTTCCACATAATGTAACCAGTAGTGCTTATGATAAAAAATAAATAAATAATAATAATTATGTGATCGGTATCGGTGATCGGCATCGGTATCGGGAGGAAAAAACCTGATCGGCACATCTCTATGTGCAGCACTATAATAGTTTCTTATGTTTATGTAGAAAGATTACAAGGATGTTTTCAGTTCCTCAATTCTTATGTTTCCATGCAAACATTTGCATTTTTATTCCACACAATAAAATAAAACTAATGGCAAAAGATTTTCACTTTTCATTTTGACCTTCCATGTCAGTCGGCTTCAAATGGTATGCTGTATATTTTTCTTCTCCTTCAACTGCATTTTCTCTCACAGTAATTTTTTTATTTTTATTTTTTTGCTCTAAACCTAAAAAATAAATAAATATATAAAGCTGTATGTAAACAAGGTTTTATAAGCTATCTTTTCTTCTCGGTGCAAAATTTTTTATGGTTCGTGTTAAAATTAACGTTTAGGTGCAAGGAAAAAAATTACCATTTGAATTATAAAGACTGATGAGCCATGTTAGGCCTGCAATTTGCATCCTCCACAAAATGCCCTTTCCTCAACGCCTATGAATTTGTGCATAGGTTAGAAAAAGACCACTGATTTTTACTGCATATATGATTTTTAAATTTAGTTCAAAATTAACAGAGGGTGTCTGGTCATTTCCAACAGTCTCTCTGCAGCACCTTTGCTTAAGCCATTAGCAATATTTCAAATTTCAACAGAAAACAATTAGAGTTTGGCACATAGGAGCCAAAACTCTTCAGTCTGCACTTTGGCTCGGCAAGCAACTACAGCAGACAGTATAGTTTATGGAGTATACTTCAAAGATTGGGAACATAACGACACCCACTCTCTAAAAGTTGTCAGACCCACATCATCTTAAAGGTGGCCTCTAAGGCTTTCCTGTAAACAAGCAAAGTTTCTGCTTGCACTCAGTCTTCCTCACCAGAACACATTCTGTGAACCATTGAGGTTGATAAAAGCTGGAGAATATATTTGCCAGCTACAAAAAATTGAGCACATTTTAATTAAGACACTTACTTTCTTGTTCCTTCCTCAAAATGATAACATTTTGTAATGACGTGTTGTGAGAACTGAGTGCAGAGAATTAAATAGGCAACAACTTTTTCTCTTTCTCACTGTTTATTCAATGTCAAATGCTGTTTTTATTTTAATTATGTAAAGCACTTTGAAATGCCTTGCTGCTGAATGTGCTATACAAATAAAATTTGATTGATTGATTGAACAAAAACTCCAGTTAGTACACATGCTTTCTAATTTAAATGTTAACATTAAGAACAAAAAGCCTAACATGTCACTATGAGGTAATTAATACAGTATTTTTATAAAAGTAAAAACAAACAGCTAGAAAACAAAAAAGTTCCAAAAAAAAAGAGAAAATTCACAATTATCTTCTATTTAATTGACATTGCTTGTTTGTTGCACAAGCATACATTTTGTAACTACACAGTAGTTACAAAATGTAACTACTGTTACATTTTGTAACAGTAGTTACAAAATGTACATTAATGCTGTACATTTTAATGTACAGCATTAAAATGCTGTACATTTTAATGATGTACTGAGTTGACATTAATTAACAGCCAAGTATGGATTGGAGGTTTTGAATTAATGTATGGAGTCAGCATTATTCCTCTGCCAGCTGTCAATTCAAACATACTGAGTAACTTCTTATCTACTTACCGTCAATTTTTTACTTTAATCACACAGTAATAACCAGTGGCAGTAAACTGCCTTCTGCATGTTGAGTGTGTAATTTTCAGGCCACTTCTTTAGCGTCCTAAAAGTTCAGCCGTGGTACTATTTGCACCTCCAGCACAGATGCAGAACATTGTTTTGCATCTCATGTGGCTGTGCAGGTGTATCAAATACATTCAGATTTAAAACTAAGACTCGTGTCTAATACAAGATTGATTATGCAAATAAAGTTTGTGCTGCTATAGTAAGCACAAACACAAAAATCTGACTTTTCACCCACAATAACTGTTTTCCCTCAAAATCCTTATAGAATATTCTAGACAGACCTTTTATTATTAGTCTTGATCTCTTATTACGTGCCAATGAGGTCCTGAGTTGTCAAAATATCAATGTTTGCCTGACCCTGAGCGTGATGCTCTGACAATATGTTGAAGTATTTATTGTACATCTTAAAAATATTCAGAACTAAAACTTGAATATGAAAAAAGCTGTAAGAAAAAGGCCTCTGATCCGAAGTCTGTTATTAGTTCATTGTGACAACTCTTTCCCCCAGACACTAACGGCTGAGTTCTGAGGCTCAAAGAAATAGAGAATGGGGGGAAAAAAAAACACACACACACACAACCATGAGAAGTCCTGCCTGTTTGAGAAAACCGAACAGGACTGGTAAAGACCTGATATGATGAATATGTGATTTTTATTTTATGCTTTGAGAAGTCCTTCCAGTTTAGCTTAAAAATCTTGCAAGACTGTAGTTTTGCTTTTTTTTTTCCACACCATATCGTGAGGTACTAAAAGTGTCATTTTAGTGACGCATTTTTCAGAAATACAGAATCTTTTGCCTGTTTTAAATTGTAATAAAGATCATTTATTGGGAAATAAATAAATGATCCCTCAGACTGAATTTTGATAGTGATAGCGATATGATGCTGACTATTTACAACCAACAGGTTTTCAAGTGCAACACAGCACTGGAACAGGACAGCAATGAAAGAATACAGCTAAAAGTTGGAAATCTGTCATGCACACAGGCAACAAAAGAAACCATCAAAAACTACTTCCAAACCCAGAGCTTGGTGCCAGTCATTCCATTAGGAATTGAACTGGCAGATGTCTTTGCTTGGCGAGTGTGAATGTGGCAGGCACGGAAGAAGTTTGGATGATGATTACATTCACCGGGCAGTGACCTGAAAGGCTCTCTGCGTCAGTACTGAGAGGTTACAGAAGCGAAAAATGTATGGCCATGCATTAAAGGAGTCACCCAAGCAGTAAGACAAACACAGTGAAGCAAGCAATGTAGAAAAAAGACGATTGGTAATTACCAAAGAAGGAAAGCGACCCTGATCAACCAGACTAATCATCATAACGATGACCTAATGTCTCCTACCTCATTACAAACATTGTTCTGCCCATCCACACTGCTTCCATAAGTGTTAGTACAGCATCAGGAGAGTGATAATAAGCATTAGCCTTGCATCTGTCCACCTGCGCACACTTTTTTTTTTCTCCTCACACCATGTTCATATACACACACGACTCACGAGTGACTGGGAAAAGAGCATTTCACCATTTATGTATCCATCCAGTCATCGTCTGTATCCGGACAAGTGGATACAGACAATGACTCTAGCAGTCACTGGGTGAGATTTGGGGTACACTGTGGACAGGTTGCCAGTCCACCACAGGGCGACACAGAGACACACAGGACAAACAACCATGCATGCACACACTCACATCTAGGGACACTTTTAGAGTAACTTATTAACCTAACAGTCGTGTTTTTAGACAGTGAGAGAATCCACACATGCATAGAAAACATGCAAAACTTCATGCAGAAAGACTTGGGATTCAACAGTGTGAAGCCCCATTTACTACATTTAGGCAGGAAACTGAGAAAAATGTGCTTATTACAAAAGGACATGTTTTCCTTCATGCATCAAAGCTTTCTTAGCCAAGCTGTCAGTCTGATTTTATCCAAGTAATTTACGTCCAAAATTAAAATACTTTGTTTGATTGGAATGGGCTATATATAATACAAGGTAACACTTTATTTGAAGGGGGTGAATAAGACTGACATGACACTGTCATAAACATGACATAACACCTGTCATGAACATGAATAAGCCTTCATGAACATTTATGACTGTTGTCATAAAGCGTCATTCGGTAAATTATTACACTTTTAATACAAAGTTGACATTATTCAAAATGTCTTTGTTATGACAACTTGACATTAACCAGGAAATCATTACTGTTTAAACTTTACCTCTAATAACATAAAGTTACCTAATTTTTAAAGAGCAATCAGTAATACTTTTATAACAAATTTATATCAGTAATGATTTCCTGGTTAATGTCAAGTTGTCATAACAAAGACATTTTGAATAATGTCAACTTTGTATTAAAAGTGTCAATTTACCGAATGACGCTTTATGACAACAGTCATAAATATTCATGAAGGCTTATTCATGTTCATGACAGGTGTTATGTCATGTTTATGAAAGTGTCATGACAGTCTTATTCAACCCCCTTCAAATAAAGTGTTACCTAATACAATTTGCCAGATTTAGCAGGGAGCAGCTGTTGGCAACCATATCCTTTACCCTTAATGTAAAAAGTAAATATTCCGCATTGACAGAGAAACTCTTGTTGCCAAGCTTCTAAGTATTCATTACAAAGATGGATGAAAGTGAGGATGGGCCGGTATGAGGTTCTCAAAATAGACTAAAACTACCACCTTTTCATTGTATCATGGCAATTTACAAAAAAAAAAAAAAAAAAAAAAAAAAAAAGTTTGGAGGAAGAAAAATGCAGAAAATGATTAAAATTATTTTGTGTAAGACAATACTGCCTCCTACTTCACCAAAATATTACGTTTCATATTTCTGACTTCATATTTGTTGATGTTTGCGATATAGCTTTCAGCAAAAATCTTCAACAAACTTAGTCAGGCCTCTGTCTCTTTAAGAAGCTCCGACTCTTTCCAACACTGCACTTTCAGCACGACTTAACAATGCTTGTTGTTATGTCATTTATAACAATTACTAGGAGAGTCAAACAGAAAAGTAGTCAACAAGACTACTCCAACAAGAAAAGACATATATGCAACTTACAGAACGTTCTGTGAGGCACCGAGCTGCAGCAGCAGCTTAACAATGGCTGCATGTCCATTCCTCACAGCATCATGGAGTGGAGAATCATTTTCATAGCCAGGTGTGTTCAACAGGGCTCCCCTCGCAACCAAGACCTTCACAGCTCCCAGGTGGCCCAGATTACATGCCTCATGCTGAAACAAGAGGCAAAATGGCTAGCAGTCATTCTGTGCAACTCATGCTCATTATTGTCCTCTGTTATTTTCAAAACAGATCTATTACCATAAACTCTGAAATGAAATCTGTTTGGTTTTTTTTTTTTTCCCCCAGTTTGCTGTTTGAGACAAAAATATATCCAAAAACAAATCATGTCAATGTTTGCCTCTGAAAAATACCTCCACATCTTCAATACACTTGTGTATACTTGTTGATACCTAATCAAATTAATAAAAAACTAAAACCCAATTACGTTCACTTTTTTTTAATTATTAGTCATTTAAAACAATATTTTTTCTGAAACAGATACAAATGAGACTTAGAACTAATAACATGTTTTAAGTGAATTTGGCAAAGTTGTCAGCCTGTGTTAATGGTTTATTTTTTCTAAACAAAAGTAGAACTGCACAAAATCTGCACAAGTTATATTGTAAACAATAGGAATTATATCTGGTGTGGGCATAAAGGACAATGAAGTACATCCAAGTTTCCAAATATGTCACCATGATGAATACAAAAGCATGACATCTAAAATATTATAGTGTACCGAATAATATGTCCAACGAGTCATTCTCGACTGTGATATTGCAATAACACGTGTGATTGTTTCGTTGTGTACGTCTAATAAAACTGTATATTTTGGTTGTTTTCAGATTTTACAGTTCAGTTAAAATGTTAACTGTTTTAAATAAAAAGTCACAATAGGAAAAACATAGTACAGTAAATACTGAGAATTAATTGCATTACAATAGTTGATCTAGTACATTAAGCTTGCCTATTATAATTTCTTACCGCCCAACTGTTTCATGCAAACACAGGCTATTTCCAGTCTTTTTTTTTTTTTAGTGCTGGCCATCTGTACCAAACAAATGTTTGTTTGTTTTTTTTTTTACTCACAGGAATTAAAATCCACGGATTTGTAAAGTGCACAGACAAAATCTGCTTCATTTTATTTGCTCAAGGCTCAACAATCCCAGAAAAGCAGACGCTTGTATTATCTAAGAAGACTAATAAAACAGAGTTATGAAAGTGGTGCTGAAACTAGAGAAGTGAAAAAGACACGTCGGGGAGCAGAGGCTCACATAACTTCCAAGAAATATACAAGCAGTCAAATAATATTTCACACTCAAAGCTGTATTGTAAGCATTTCAAAACATCAGCTGCAAACTGTCAGAGCTCAAATTGAACAAGTCTGAGGGGAGCTAGCAGCCACATTAAGGGATGTAATAAAGTCAGAGGCAAACACTGACATTTGTTCTCAAAGACAAAAAAAAAAAAAAAGCATGATAACCCAGGGAATAAGTGACAGCGCTTCCAACTTTTCCTGTTGAAGCAGATCTGTGTAAAAGCACAAAGCAACACACCTTTTAGGTCAGCCTTATAGTTAAACAATTGCAGCGATTACAGTAATTATCTTACCAAGTATACAAGGCTCTGATAAAGTCACAGCAAAATCCTTTTTAGCTGTGTTTCACAGAAATTTCGACAAGAAAAGACGGTTAAAATTGTACTCAGGCTTCCTTTTGTTTGGAGCTTAATATTCTCTTAACATGAATAGTGTAAAGGATTAGATGAAATCTAGTGCTGAATAAAAATGACAAAATTCCCCTGTGCCACAACTATCAAACAGAAAAAAAATCTGACTTCTTGTCATAGGAAAAGCTAAAGCTTTGGTCGTTCCAGGCTGTTGTCAGAAATCTGTGTGGCCAACTTTTCTCGGGAGAACTGTGTGTAAGGTTGAGCGATATGAACTTAGAATTTTTTGCAGTATTCTGTGCTACTATTATGATGAGATTAAAGATGGTAAAAAAAAAAAGTTCTTGTATTTTTGGTAACTGTATGGTTGTGACTGCATGACAAAGCATTTGTAGCACCAGAATTATTATTTTTTTTTTATATTTGCATTTGAAAACAGCTTCTTCAAGATGCCATTTACTAAAATGCACACAGTAACCGTATTTATTAATACTTTTGAATTTGTTGCCATTTATTAATAATCCTGTGGAGCAGTGGAGAAAACAGCAAAAATAACATTTTCAATCGCATTTTAAGTTTTTTTTTTTTTTTTTTTTTTTTTACTTATTTGCCATAAATAATTGAGGCTTAAAATGGTAAAGATAAATTTAATTTTTCATGATGAATGCCCATGGCAAATAGGTGCAAATTCAATGCAAATGTTTCACACTTATGCAAATACAGTCATGTAAAATACAAATATTGGGACACCTAATTGAAAACTCGATTGTTTTCCAAACATAGGGATATTTCAGATCAAATTTAACAACAATGAAAAACAACATAAACAAAAGAAATGTATTTTGGGATGAGAACTAAATTTGGACACCAGCTCATCATCATAGATTCAACCATTTACATATGATGAGGATAATAAACTGGCTTGGTTCTGCTGCTACAAAGTCATGATGATCCATATATTTTATGAGGTTCTTTTCCTAGAATCCTAGTATTCTGTTCTTGCCAAACATGTCCACTTATTTTATTATCCAGATAATTTAATTTCACTCATCTACCCAAAGAATGTTATTCCTGATTGCTGGTTTCTGTCCATGTTTTCTGAGGCCAAACATAGTCAGGCCTTCGTGTTTATTTGTATATCTCTTCGCGTCCATCTCTATAGTTGCTTAGATTGATGCATGTAGACTCACCAGTGGTGTCCAGCCGGCGTTATCTTTCAGGTTGGGGTCGGCTCCCTGATCCAGAAGTTCTTTGACAGAATCTACATCTCCCTGCAGGGTACGTATAGTAAACAACAATCCTGAGGTGAGAATCACAAAAATGTAACGTCAACCCATTTGAAAACAACAACACCCGATGCCTGAGAACAAAAAGATCCCAGGTTTATCAATTGGCCTCCGCAGAGAGCCATCGATTCCCGTGTCAGTGATGCTGGGAGGGATTACAGCCATGTTCATGAGGATTACTGAACAGCAGAACATGCCTGTCCAATCACCCGAGCACTGATTTGGAAAGGATTGGGTTTGTCATTATGAAAGAATAAGTAAACCACAAAAAGGCCACATTAGCACCTTTAACTGACATTCCATTTTTATCTCTATAGGAGACAATTAACTTGAAATCTAGTTCCTTGGGTAAAGTTGCTCGCAATTTAGCTTTATCAATGTGATCGGTAATAAACGTCTTCACCTTTATTGCAGCAAGATGTAGAGGGGTCTCTCCTCTGTGGTTCCTCTTCATTACTGCAGGGCTGCCAGGGCTTGAACGGCCGGAAGCTGACCGAGGACTGCACACGGGTTTATTGTGGCTGTCTGAAGACATGAGGGCTGCAACAGACGGACTACGCTGTTTACCTTCTCTCGGGCGTTTCTTTTTCTTTTCACTTGGGGGGCTTGCTAAAGTTAAACGCTCAGTGAAAGGTGAGGCTTTTCCACCAGGTGATTTTCTCCTTTGGCCCGAAGAAGCCCTCTGTCTTTTTGGCGTCGTTTCCAGGGAGCAGTTTCTCTCCACTGTTTTGCTTCTTTTGGAGAGACTCTCCTGGGGAGACGCGTTTGTGTCTGTTCTGGAACCGTCATCTGGATTTGGGTTGTTTGTTGACGACATCTGACTGGATGTGCTCTGACCATGCTGGCTGTGGTGACTCAGCACATTGATCTCCCCTCCCGAGAGACTTTCGTTTGTTGTGCGGTTGGTCAAACTGAGTTCACGGACCTGCGAGGCTTCAGTCTGGGCCCCGTCAGTCGAGACAGAAGGGCTTAAGAAAGAAACCCTTTTACGGGACCCTCTTGCTCCATCAGCACAGGATGGCTCTGGTCCAGATGAGGGATTTTGTTGGTCTGTAATTCCCCACTGCTGGTTTATGGCCTCCAGCCTCTTCTTTTTCAAATTCTCTTTAGTCTGTCTACGTGTGGTACTGGTGTGCCCTTGAACCTGCCTTGTAGTAGCAGTTTTCTTAGTTCTTTTCTTTCCTTTACTGTTTACATTACTTTCATTTTGTGAAGACGAAGAGTCTTGGGAGGACGAAGTGAAATTAAACACTGAAAGGTCCCGGCACTGAGCTGTGGGGACTTTGGACTGAGCAGCAGGCTGTTCTTCAGAGGACTTCCTGTCTGGAGCAGTGACCTCTAAAGGCTTCTCGACCTTGCAGCGCACCTTTCGACTGCGAGGACTGAACCAGATCTTAAAGTTCTTCTTGTGTTTTAGGACTGCAGCCTCCGCCTGCGAACTGACCTCAGCAACAGAGGAGTCTGAAATTAAATATACGAAAAGAATAAAATAAATTAATTTTAAAAAAAAAGCAGAAGTGATGCATTTTAATAAGAACAAAACAGCAATCCCATCCTTGTACTGTGCTCGCTAGAAATTCTGAAAGTGAATCGTTTTCAGAAAGCCTTTTTTTCTGTGCGATAGCGTTCTATGATGTACTTAATTAAAACAATTACACCAACATTTCATTTCATTGCGTTCGATTTTTGCACACATTTGACAATACATTTACACTGCTTTGCAATAGTATTCATAAAAGCAACCACAAGCATTCCAGAATTTTATTGGGAATTCATATGATGTACAAAAAATAAAAAAAAATAAAAAATAGAAAAGCTGGTCAGATCTGATGGGAGCATGGATGGAGAGAAGAATACCCAGAAGAAAACCTGTTAGACAGGTGGATGTTTCCCTTTGCACAGAACAGAAATCCTAAATACAGTCAGAGCTGCAGTGGAATGGTTTACATCTAAGAATCCTCATGTGTTAAAAGTCAAGACAATAAATGTTCTGCTAAGAGGAATTAGCACAGAGCCAGGAGACAAAATGCACAAAAACCTTGAAACTGCAGTGAAAAGTCACTATGAGCGACACAATACCAGGAAAACATGTAACTGCAATACCATTTCTGAATAATGTTGTAATTATTATGATTTATCCACTTTATCCTGATTATATGATTGTATACAATTTTTTCACTGTGAAATGTGAGGCTTAGCGTCTCAGGTCTACAAAGAATTACACATAATGTGACTTGAGGGCAACTAAAGACCGCCCAATAGGCTGAATGCAGGCGCGGAGCCCCACCAACCGCCCCCCGGCCCAGATGGGTGCCCATGGGGGCCCGGGAGGGAGGAATGGCTTCAAGTTGCTTTAATGTCTGATTATAGACGGAGAAAGTGCGCCTTCACCTGTTCAGAAAGGTTTATTTAATAGTTACTGTCCCTCAATGGAATATATAGTAGTCAGTCCCAGTGACTGTTTCACTCACGGTTTAGTGAATGTGCTTCCTGAGTAAAAATAAAACGAGAAACGTAGCACAAACCACACACCGCACCCCCACGCACCCCCTTGTTCCGCTAGTGGATGAATATATATGCAGCTCTAGAAAAAAAAAACAAAAAAAAACAAGAGACCACTGTACTGAACCCCCATTGAAAAACCTCGTGGTTATTCCACCAAATATTGATTCCTGAACGCTTTCTGAGTTCAAACAGGAGTATCGTTTTTAAATGAGTATGAACTTGTTTTCTTTGCATTATTAAATCTCAGAAAGCACTGCATCTTTTTCGTTATTTTGACCATTTCTCATTTTCTGCAAATAAATAATGGATTTTTGCTTGGGATTTCGGAGACATGTCGTCAGCAGTTCATAGAATAAAAGAACAATGTTCATTTTACTCAAACGGAGTAAAATCAGAGAACTGAGAATTTTGCAGTGGTGTGTTAAATTTTTTTTCCAGATCTGTATATTACTGGCTTGCAGAATGATGGTGCATGTGTCCCTTTAAATATGACATCCAACCAAATACTACATCCAAACAGTCGTTTGCAACCACGATACACAAAGCATTAATATTTCAAAAGTGATTGTGATTTGATATATTGTGCAGGTCACCTCAAAACCAGGCACTCTGCATTGACACTTTTTTAATATTTTTGGAAAACATGAATGCTTTTCCTTCCACTTGAATCACGCACCACTTCATATTTGCTCATTACACAAAATCCCATTGAGAAACAATGAAGCTTGTTGCTGTGATGTGAAAAAACATATCTGGACCGACTGAAACCAGGATGTTGCTGTGCATGCATTTTACCTGCTTGTTCCGTGGGATTAAGCAGGGACTCCAAGTCACTGAAGAGCTGTATGATGCTGCTAAGCTGCCTGTTGATTTGGATGTCCTTCACCCACGCAGGGCTGAGACACACGGCGCAGCCGACTCCTGCCCGGGGGCCAGCACACGACCTGAGCAATAAGCCTTTCTTAGAATGGAGTCCTGCTTACATTTCAGTACAAAGAAAAACAGCGCATCTATTGATTCCCCCTCTTAGTAGTTTCAAAAAGGAAAGGTTTGTAGTTCATACCAACTTTGGAGCTAAGCACGTTAGATTTCTTCATTCATGTCAAACCTTATACTTTCAGTATTAGCATCATTTCATCTCTGCAGAGATTAGTCCGAATAAATTAAGTAATTTTCCACGCCTGAGGCAGGAAGAAGACGACTCCCTCTGTGGCCATTTTCATGTGACATAGCAGGAAAAGCAGACTGCTTTTTAAATACCTTTCAGGTATGCCAGTGTGCCCAGCCAGTAAGCCAGCATCCATGCATTCACAATCTTGGCAGCCGCACACTTAAATGCAACGAAGCAATCATTATCATTATTAGCTACACCTGTGTTCGGCAAATAAAAATTCCTGCCACGGTGAACGCCTGCCAGTAATAAGCATATCACAGCAGAACACCGTGAGGTTACATTACCTGCACAGCATATGCTCGCACATCCCCAGACACACCGGCTCTTCCATCACATTTGAGCTGGGAAACAGGGAAAGGATTTATTAGTCTGTGCCGGCTTAACTCATTGCCACACAAAAAAGTAATTGCAATGCAAGATGCTGTGGAGCGGTAATTAGGTTTTTGATCTTTACCATTTTGAGAGTATTAAAACCTAAATCCCTTTATCACAGAAAAAAAAAAAAAAAAACTAGATTTGATACAATCCACCCTTCACTAAAATCACACGAAGTAAACTAAAAAACACAAATAATCATTTGCAGGGACTTCGCATGGTGTTGCATGTTGCCCCCGTATGCATTTCCAACATCTCACGCCATTTCTCTGAAGCTTATTTTGCCTGGGGATTGTTTATTGAAATTCATCAGCTTCCTCATCCCTGGACTGCAGTGTGTACCATCAACTGTGAATTATTGTTCTCGCAACATAAAGCTTAGCTTTGTTTATTTTTTCCTGATTGGTAGATGTGAAAAGTCTACACAGCCCTGTTAAAAAGACAGTTTTTTAGTGACATAAAAACTGAGACCCAGAGAAATTAATGCAGAGTGCTTTTTTACTTTAGCAGGGACTCCAACGTGCACAAGTATGTTGAGGAACAAGCTGTAATTCTTTAAGGGAAAATGTGTAAGTATGTGGTTGCCTAAGTACACTGCGGTTGAATTATGCCCTGGGTCGTTGTTAAGGCACAGGAAATTGTTCCTCTTCATCTTCATCTTTCTTTTAGGAGTCTGAAACTTTTCCACCAACACTGACTGTTCATACTTACATCCATCTGAACAAAAACAGCCCCAAAGCATGATGCTGCCATCACCATACTCTAATGTGGGTTTGAAATTATAAGAGCATGTGCATATGTACAATGCCGCTATAGTTGACCTTTATAATTTATATCCCCTACCCCCTCGCCCCCAACAAAAAATCTGATTCTAAGTTGTAATAATAAGTCAAATTAAAGCTGAAAACGGTTCTGAAATACTTTTCCTTGGTTAATATTTTTTACATCATAAAAAGCTGGCATTTTAGCAGGGGTAATATCTTTAATATCTTGAATACTGATATGAAAATATTCAAACGCATCTAGTTATACTCGAGCTGTTGTCTTTCTCTGTTGCGTTTAAACATTAAGGTTAAAATGACGTGGTTATCCATGTTTAGACTCGTCGTGTATTACAGCTAGAAGTGATTAATCCTGTTATACTTATTCCCCTCACAGGTATACTCCTCGTGAAAGAGCTGTTTATGTTGCATTTTGCGTCGTTGAGCAGAGAAACGGTTCGGATTCGCTCCAACTTACCATTTGGAGCAAAGCAACAGTCGACGGAAGTTTGCAACCGCCTCTTTAGTGTTCTTCCAGTCATCTGTTTGTAGCGATGTGGTATTATCCATGCTTTTTTACAAAAGAGAATATTTCTATTACCGATTTGTTGTCGAACTCGTTTGCTCCAATCCTGCCTCTAAAAAAGCAAGCCACAAAACAACAAACTACTTCCTGGTTCTTTACATCTCCCGCCAATTATTTACGGAAGTGACTTAAGGGTCGTGACGTCAACCGAGGCGCGCATATTGTCTTAGTTGACGTTCCCTGCTGTTTGGAGATAATACAGACATGTAGGAGAAAATGTTATAGTCAACTGTACAACGGTTCCGTACTATTTTGGCTAAAGGTACCAGCAAGATATTTCTCAACTTACACAAGCTTTGACACACGTGACTGATTACATCACAGACTGGAACTGATTAATTAAAAAATAATTATTTGAAATCGTTACGACCTTTGATGTAGTAAAACTAAATGCTCCGATTAGGTTCAGACAATGTTTCCTGCAGAACTGCAGCATCATTTGCTGCTTCATCAAGCAGATATAATTATATTGATTTCAATACTACCAGTTAGCCTCCCATGCATGCACAGGCCTCTTCAGCTGGTGGAGCTTAGACCATATGGACCAGACCATAGTTTTGCTAGAATAAAAATGCACATATTTTGATAACTTTCAGAAATTCCTTTAAAAAAAAAATAAAAAAATCTACAATAGTAAGAATTCTCGGTGGTGTATAAACTCAGTGCAATGCATTGTTTTGACTAGTGATTCTACACAGCTTAATTCACTGCAGGATGTAATTTTGAACACTGAAATGTAAAACTGTCAATGAAAATTGTTCATTTCAAATCCCATATCGATTGACATTTTCAAAACCAGCAGTTAATGACAGAAATAAACTTTGTTCACTATTTCTACTGCCCAAGATATAAAATTCTAACCTGGGATATATTATCAGTATATTTCAATATTCCAATTCCCATTCATGTGATATGTAAGAGTAAAAATTTTTTTTTGTAGATGTACAATGTAAACAAAAATATGAAATGACTATATAAAGATAAATTAAACACATTGTGTCTATTCCTGCAAAGTAGAAAACAAGCATTTAAACAACAGGGATTGTGTTGTATATGTAATGTAAAAAAAATAAAAGAAAATCCAATTACAAAAAAATTTGGCTGGATAAAAATGAAATATTGAACAACTAAACACTTTTCAGATATATTGTTTTAAGTAAAAACCTCTGAGATCCCAGTAAGTCTGAAAAGTAGCTTAAGCAATTCACAAAGATTACATTTCAAGATGTTAAATATCTATTTGCAAGCAAAGACTTGAAGGCTTATAGATTATTTGTCATCATCAAGCCTTCAGCACTGCAGCAAAGCCAGGCACACGCTACGGTGGAAATAATTGCATGGGCTCAGTCGAATCCCTTTTAAAAACGACTGTGGGTGAACACTTTTTTTTTTTTTTTTGCTGAATCCAATTGATTCAAGATCTGAAAGCAGCACAGCAATTTTTGAGCCTGCACTGAAATAAGATAGACGAAGGCAAAGTAAAAAAAAAAAAAAAGAAATGTCCCCAGAGTTTAACAAATCAGACCGTGAATACATATTGTATTGTACATCTACTTTTTGTTCTCTTGGTTAAATGTGATGGAATAGAGTTTTTCATCAGGACACAGCTCATAAGCCTTTATCCGCAATTGTATGTGGATGTATAACTATATCAGGTATATGTGACTTTCTATTTCTGAATATACCAGTGATGCAGAGCAATATATGAACTGGGGGAATATGTGCTGCCATCCAGATGACACATTTTCCAAGGAAACCTTTTGCTGTTTTTGCAAAAGGATGCAAAATAAACAAAACAAACCAAAAACCAATGTTTCGTTGGGCCTATTACAACAGCCCTTAATAATGACAGTGTGAGCATTTGTGGATTTTAGATCTGCTGCTTTCCAGGTACTGGGTCTGGTTTTTTCCATCACAGTGCTTTCTGTTTATATTCATAGTATGTGGGATACAGGGTTGTAAACAATCAGTGCTCACGACCAAGAGCAAAATATTACAAAGGCTAGTGGAAACATTTCTGTGCATACATATAAGGAGAACACAAACAGTGTGAAACAAAAGTACCAACCTTTCTCTTATACCTAGCTTCCTTATCATTCTTAGTTTTTAAGATGTTTGTTAGTGTGCTAACATTTCTTAGCATTGTTGTTCAGCTAAAATGGATCCAAGCTAAATGGATTTACAGTGCAATCCTGGTCTTCACTAAGTTTTTTCTACCAGGTGACAGAACTTTATTGCACAGCGCCTTGCAAACGCATACAAAAGCAAATAGGGCTTTGTACGGCTTTCTTCTTCCAAGGTTTTCATCAAGGACAGATTTGGGGATTGCCGGGCAAATACTGGTCATGTCATCAGGTTCTCCCACCTGATCTGTGAATCTTTCCAACTCTTTCAGAATTACAATGGACCTCTTGGCTGCTTCTGTGATTGATAGCTTCCTTGCCCAGCCAACATTTGACAGCCATCTCTTTTTAGGTTTGCTGTTGTACTCCATTAGTAGAAATAAAACGTATCATAAAGGAATGTTGGAATGAACAGTGAGCTGTTCCAAGGTGGGGATATTATTTTTCTTATAACCTAACCCCATCTTCATTTTCTCCACAAAATTATGCTTGGTCTTAATGATGCTGTTTGGTAACTAATGTGCTCTAATAAATCTATACAGCCTTCAACTAACACTTGAGAAAACCTTAAAGTGAAATAACAGGTATAAACGATATATACTAATTATGCGAGACTTAAAGTAAAGGATTTTATTTAGGGTGTCACAGTTAAGGGGTGTTAAAATATGCATGTCCCCTTTTTCAGATTTATTTGTTAAACAACGTATTAAAGTTTTTCACTTCTTAATCATGGACTATTTTTTGTTGGCCCATCATATTCAATTTAAATGAAATACAGACAAGTTTGTGGATGCAACTTAACTAAATGTGAAATACCTCAAAGGGATTTAGTTATTTTACAAGACAGTATGCTTCTCACACCTAAGCAACACAGAATAATTGAATGGTAATTAGATGCAGAAATCAACATGATATGGATCAAAAGTGATGAATCAGAATGTAGAGTCAAAAGAAAATGCATCACATGTATTGCAACAGCACTTGAAAAATAGTTTTATTTTGATTACAAAAAGTAAATACATTCAAGATTATTGTTAGATGGTCCAAGAGCAGGAGAGACTATTTAGTATTCAGTACAGCCACTCCAATAATGAGCAGAGTGTTAGAGCAAATCTGCACATTGAGTTTGTAGTAGAGGTATTTTCTTTTCAGTTTTATCTAGTACTTACAATAAGATGTACTTACATTTGAAAATTTGATGAGGAGTAAGATTCATTTGACACAATCAAAGCATACCAGCATTATGGTCAGTTGAAGATAACAATTGAGAAATATAGAAAATTTGCTCCAGCAGCCCAGCCACAAAAAAACAATTAAATTTCATAATTATTAAGATCTAGCAAATTAAGAAAGAAGACAGTAAATGAACACAAGATCAATCCATCCATCAACTTCATTTGTTCATCTGTGCAAGTAATAATTTGGTAAAGATAATTTCATTTACCCTGCATTTGATCATACTACAGGTATTTATATGTTTACATTGGGTAAATGAACCTTCATTCCAGCCAGTCAGCTCTATGTCTCAACAGCCTTAATGGAACCCAGGTCTTCAAAGTCGTCTTCACCGTGAATTGGGATGGTTTCCATGCCAATATTTCCCATGGCAAAATTGATGAAGACCTGCAGGGATTCAGTAATAATGTAAGATGGAAGGCAAAGTAAAAAGTAATAATTTCTTCTGAGGAAAGCTGTAATATTTTGCTTATCGTCTGGTCAGCTTCACAGCCCAACCCCCCTCGTTTTCTTCCATCTATGGTGTCTTCCAATCCCAGAGCCCCAAAGGGTTTAGAGTAGTTGAAGAATATCAGCTTTGGCTGCATATAAAGCTCATGGATTCTCTTCCAAACTCATATTCCATTTATTTTCCCTCAGGCATACCCTCTGTCAGTTTTCCTCTGACTCTTTTAAACTTTCTATGCTCTGTCTTTCACTCCCACTCAGCTTTCTTCTGTCCCTGCTTCCCCTACCACCCTCCCGCTCTTTCTCTCATCTCATGTCCCTTTTTTCCGTCCCCTGCTACCATCTCCCCAACACCACAAAGTGACACAGTACTTCCTTCCCTCTCACTCTCTCTCTCTCTCTCTGTTTATGTTCTGTCTCTTTTTCCTCACCTCATCCAGTGTGGTCTGGCTCACAGAGAAGTGTTTGATCCGCAGAGCATGCTTGTTGGACTCGAGCTGGCTGAAGATGTCAGCAACCCCACCAGGAGCATTTGGTACGTGGTATTCCACCATGGCAGAGTGCTGGTCCTGTGTGTTGAGAAAGAAAGCAGAGTTTGTGTTTAAGGTTGGTGAAAGCATTAAACTCCCAGTGAAACCAAAAGTAGTGTACTGAACATTAGACATAAAGACATTTGGTTCGGGAGAAAATCGACATTCTTTGATAGCCAGTCCACAATAAGCTATATACAAACTGAATGTCAAGTACAAACCTGGAGCATTTTATATTCCTAGATTTTTAGCAAAACAAATCTCACACTTTTGGAAATCAGTAAGCTTAACAGACCAATAGCACTCAAAAAACAGCTCAAATTATTTTTAAGCCTGCTGTAAATAGTCTTGTCATTTAGAATGAATCCACATTAGTTTGCCTCCAAAGCTAACTAGCAAGCATACTGGTTAATGGACCCAGGTGCTTGTTCAACACCTAAAGCATTTATAATGGCTTATGCAGGCACTTTTTATTCATTGTCAAGTTTGCGTTGAATAGTTATTTACAGAGTAAGTCAATAAATTTTTTGAAGGGGAAATAGCAGACGGAGGGAGTGCGCCCTCAATGATCCTCCTGTTTGAAACACATGCTGAGAACAGAAAATGAAATGCAGACAATACAGATGTTCAAAATAACTACATATTTACATTTCTGTCAGGTAGCTGATTTGACCTGACACCTTCTACAGGTTACGTTCTCAGTGAGTGTTTCACTCAAGAACATCACTGGTGCTGCATTGCCTGCAAGCTCCATTTCATGTTTTAATAGTCACTGGCTTGTGGTTTTAATAACCACTAAA